GGGGGGGTGCTGAGCTTGCTGGGGGTGGAAGAGAGAAGCACAGAACTATGCCGCGGTGCCATACACGGAGGGCGGGCGGCTCACAGAGAGGAGGGACTAGTTCTGGGGGAGGGAGAAGCAGAGAGCAAGACCCAGGAGGGACCAGGGAAGGGACGCGATGGTCTGCACAGCACAGCGCGTGGGAAGCGCAGCGCACTGTGGACACGGCGTGTGCGCATGCGCACCGGACGCGGGAGGAAGACGGCCCGGCAGCGGCGGTCCCTCGGCCTCGCTCACAGCGCTCACAGCGTGTGAAGGATGGAGGGATGTAGGGGCGTGACTCCGCATAGATCACAAGGACTTTGTACTTTATTCTACAGACAGGAGCCATGACAGGGCTTTAAAAAGGGGGGAGAACGATACTGGTTTTGTGTTCTAGGAAAATCCCTCTTAAAAGCAACGTGCAGGATAAGTTGGGGCTGGAAAACCACCGTGGGGCTTTTGCCCTGGTCCAGGCAAAGACAGAACAGTCTAAGTTAAGTCCATGCAAGAGGAGCTGAAGAGGACATGCAGAACGGCCCAGATCTGGATGGATGCATGTGGCAAGAGAGAAAAAAGGAAACGTGTGGCTTCCATGTGCCTGGATGACACCATTAACAGCAAGGGTAGAGGGAGGGGAGGGGAGTCTGAGCAGAAAGGCAAAGTCACATTGGATATACTGAGTTTAAAGGGCTTATGGAAGAGTGCTGCCAACAAGCTCAGGAAAGAGGTGGGGCAGAGATAAACACCTGAAGGTTGCAGTTACACGGCAGGCCGTTTCCAGATGCAGAAAGGGATAAAAACGCTCAGGGAGAACACTCAGAGTGGCGGAAAACCAAGCCAATGACAGAGTTCAGGGGATACAACACTTACGTCTCAGCAGAACCAGATGCAATATCCCTCTCTCCACCAAAAACAAACAACGCACAGAGAAACCCCTTGGGCCTGTTCCCCATCCAGTAACTCCTCACCTCTCTGCCCCACTCCACGGCAGAACCGACTCAGGTGTCCTCACGTGTGGCTCCTCTGTCCTCTCCCCACTGACACTGCTCTTGCCCCCGAATCTTCACACTGGCTCATCTCTCTTTTGGGAAAGCTCTTCTCCCAGACTTTGCCTAACTTGCTCTCCCTTCACGCAGGTCTCTGCTCAATGTCAACTCCTTACAAAGGTCTTTTTAACTCTGTCACACCATCTCTTTACTCTGCTACCTGAAATCGTGTTTATTTGTTCCAGGAATATAACCTCCGTAAGGGCAGGGCCCTTGCCTCCTGTCCAACACGCAGGAGGCAGTCAATAAATCTTTGTTGGCGGAGTAAATAAATATAAGGAGATACATCTTAAAATGCATTTGTGAACCATCTAGAATGTTTGATAGAAAAATGCACTTTCCTAGAACTCTCCTCCAGCATACTAAGTTAAAATCTAAGGGTGGGACCCAAGAATCTGCACTGTAACACGCTGTTCAAGGGATTCTTAAAAACATTAAAATTTAGAGAACTATAAATACAAGGGACGGTCGGGGGGTGAGGGGTGGATCTAAGAGGAGAGTAAGCAAAGTCAGACTGCGGAGGAACATCAGGGTAGCGAGCTACCTAAAGGTCAGGTGTGGTGAGAGAAAGGTGATTGTTTAGATTCTGTAAAGGAGACAAAGACAATTTCTGACTTTCTGAAAGGAATTTCAGTGATGCTTATGGGTCAGGGAAGCCAGGACGAGGACAAGTATGAGTGACTGACAGACTGATGAGAACAAAGACCACTACTGCACATTTCCTAAGGTTAGTTGTGACTTTAAAAACGCGTGGGGGGCTTGACCCCTAGTTTTTGGGGGGCAGCTTGACTGTGAAGGGGAGGAGGAGGTGGAGGGCGCAAACGAGGGAAAGGGGGGGTCCTAGAGATAGCTGAAGGGAAGGAGGGGGGAGACGGAGGAGGAGGATGGGCAACAGGTGAGTGATGTCCAACCAGACCCAGCAGGATGAGGATCGGGAGCCCTGCTTTATAAGTGGGACAAGAAGAGAGATTTCTTAATCTGGCCCGCTAAAAAATCTCTGTTTTCAGAAGTACATAGTGGAAAAGCAATGACTATTAGTTAACGATATTTCAAAGAAGACAGAAGCCTCTGGCTTTACAGAGTCAAGGAGATCAGGCTCCCTCTGGCTTTTAAGAGCAAAGCGAACGTCAACTAAAGGTGCCAAAGTGACACCACGTGCTCTGTCTTTACTCTCGGAGGAGGAGCAGAGTTCACCACGTCAGCGGAAAAGTGATACCGTCAACTCTCTGTTCTCAGTGACGGACGTCAACAAGCCTGAGCCAGGCAACCCGGGGAGAAAATAAACCAAAAGTTCTTTTTACCTATGTCCTGCTGAGCCCAGTCACCTGGCTTCAGTTCACAAAGGTGAGTTGGAGAACGGTACCACTGAAATCCCGCATCGAGAGGAATGTCGGTAAACTTGGTAAATTTACCAATGGAGATCCACTCGTCTTCAACGAGGCCGGAAAGGCGAGGAAGGATGTAAAATATGGTCTGAAAGGAGAATTGTAAAATCTAAATTTCTTCCCTTAAAACTAATAATGAGATACATGATAACATGTTTAAAGCACAAGTTATGTATTATTACTGATGTGTTCTCCCAAACTATCACCTCTGATCAAATTACATACGCTCATTTGTATCTTGTAACAACTGTCCATCTGTATTTCTTATCTTCTCTAAGAATTAGGGGATTGATTTAGGAAATCCCTGAGAGTAAACAGATCTTTGAGGGCACTATTTCTCACTGTATGTCACAGATACCACACTGTTGCTAAAAGCAGCAGGTATTTTGGAATTCATCAGTACTAACGTCGGACAACGCCTGGATAAATGCTACTTATCGATAACCAGACGTGTCCATAAGCAGCCAAGCTCAAGCTCTCATGATGCCAAATCTCTGCTCTCGCTGCTACCGTAGAAATTGAGAATCTAAATTCTGCCTCCAGTGTATCTTAGCTGTGGACACTGGACAAGCCATTAACCTTTCTCAATTTCTCAGCTTCAACTTCCTCACTGGTTAAGTAGCACACGATCACGTTAAAACAGCACAGGACAGTGATCTGCCAGCCGCCCAGCCTGACACCCCCATGAGTAGTGGTTACTCAGTCATTCCGTAGCAATCCTCCTTTCTTTTCTTACCTACCACCAAAACTGAGATCCAGGTCATCCTCAAAGGTGGAAAGCACGTAAGAAGCAGAAGTACAATAAGCAATTTAAAAATGAAATAATAACCTTGTAACAAGGCACAAGTCTTCACAACAGTTTTTGGAATGAACGTGGTTTTCTTTTTGTTAGCAACATTTGTGCAAATTTAAGCAGGCATCATGAATGCAGCTAAATGTTCCTTACATGGGGATCAATGTAATACACATGCTGCAAGCCATTATTTTATCTACACGGTTAGGGTTCATATAATTAATGGGAAACAAAGTATATAAATCTATCAGGGTGAGGCAGTCAAAGTCAAGGGAAGGCAAGGGACTTACTCCTGATCGACAACTGACTAGGAAAGGCTGACTTAGCACTAGAGAGTTATTAAGGGTCCTTCAGAAAGATGTCAAACAGAGCATTCTGGGCGCTAAAGGACACAGAACAGACCATGTTAGAATAGTTAAAAAAGCCTAAATAATTTTTTGCAATGAAGCAATGGAAAGTACACAGTAATGTTCTATGATGAATATCTCACAGTATACAGATCTGTTTTTTTTAAAAGGCTAGCTTATTAGTAATCCACACACACACACACACACACACACACACACACCCAACAAGAAAAAAAAATCGCTTACACACAGTAGCTCAAGTTACTGATACTTCCAAGTTCTTTAGAGGAAGAGTCTTAAGTTACATATTTTAAATTCAAAGGCAGAACATTATAATTACAGCTGCAAAAGGGAGAAGGTAATACATCTTATAGAAATTTTAATAATCTATGTATTGAGTTAATCAATGCATATGCTAACTGTAATAAACAAGTTTATGGTTCTCAAAATTATTTAAGCACAATCTGCTACCATCAGTGACGTGCAGTATCATTTGCTACACAATCTCAGTCACCCAGAACCTAAAATGTGCTGTTAAACAAAAGAGGAGATCTTTTTGTTCTTTTTTAACAACGGGCTTCATTACAACATCTCACCTGCACAAATGTTCTCACTCATTTCCTTTTTAATGTCAGAACAGATTTCTGTTTAGAGTTAAATATTCCCCCTTCCAGTGTTTACAAGTCAGACACTGCCTGAGAAACAAAGTGAAAATGACAAGCCGAGTTTCACCGCTGAAGAGTGAGACACAAGCAAGCCACCTGCATGAAGTGACAAAAGTAAACTGAGAGCTTTATGACGTGAAGGTGGTGCTGGAGGGAAGTCAGCCTCGTGAACACCCTTCAACAACCGTGGCAGAAAGGAAGCATGAGGCCCAGAGACACAGTAGAGAATTTGCAAATGGTATTAATCTCAGCTCACCTCCAGACAGTAATCCTTAAGTGGGTGAAATGCTGCAAAAAAGAAATGTTCTTGGATGCGTTGCCAATTCTTCTTGGCGTTCCTAGGGATGAAAATATGCATAAGGTGAACCAACTCATGAGTGAACCAACTCCGGTAAGGGGGGACATCACGTAGATCTCAAAGAGGTACTGCAGAACTTAGAATGAACAGACAGTCTTGTGAATTTTATCCCAAGATTTATACACCCTTATGTCCAAGATAAACATATGTTAAAAACTGACCCTAAATTTGACATTTTGAAATGAAATTCAAAGACAAAGAAATTAAATGACTCTCTCGCAGTCACACAACGAACAATGACTGAACAAGCATGAAGCCAGCTCTCCACACCGCAAGTGCGGGGATCAGCCTACAGAGGGGGCAGAGGCCGGGGCTGCCCGGAAGGTGAGGGCAGTGGGGATGGTCCTCAGTGGACAAGGAGGAGAAAATCCCACACAGGAAGCCTGCCACAGGCACAATTCACACACCTGGGAAGAAAAGAATTCTAAAAGGGAGCTGTATAAGAAATCTGGACCTGGATCCTTAAGTCTCTCTCTGGCCATAAACACCTTTTTCCCCCCAGGAGAGACGGTGAGCTGAGTCATTTTTTTCACTCTGAAGATTCACACAACACACAGCCAAACTGTACCAACTTTCACAAGCCAAACAAAAGTAATATGAGGTTTCAAATTCTTAACTTTAACAAATAGACACAAACAACAAAAAACAAAAATCTGTCAAGTTTTAAAAGGCAAAAGAGGTAGAAATAAAAATTATACATGACCACTGGCAGGTTTCAGTTTACATTCATGATCAACAACCAAGAGCTAAAGGACCCCCAGGGTTCCCGGCCACCTCCTTCCACACCTGTCTCCTTTGCCAAAAGACAGCCCCTTAATCTGGGCCCGAGATCCCATCCCCTGGGATTTTGCTGAGTCATGCACCCCTCCCACTGTAGCTGTATTTTGTCTGTTTGATATTGAGCATCTGAGTAGGATTTTGTTTGGGAAATAGAGAAGTTCTCTTAGAAAAGAAAAGGGAAAAAGCTTCCAGCTTTTGAACCAGCTTTGACTGGTCCATCTGAGGGGTTAAGAGCATGCCTTTAAACAAAGTCAGGTCATGCCGCTTCTCAGACAACAGAGGGTGCTAACATTTGGCTACGCTGAAGAGGAACATCTAGAGGCACATAAAATAAAGGGTCAAAGATATGAAAGCAAAAGAAAAAACGTCAGGACGGAGCTGCCAGCACTTAGTATTGTAATTAAACTAAACATCGAAGAGTGACCTGCTTAAGCACCAACTAATCCAAGCTGTGCACTGCAGTGTGATGGACTAGAGATGCTCACAGGCTGGCGCCCCCGCATCCTCTTTGTGCTCTACCAGGCGGGGAGGGACAGGGACAAGGTTTGCTTACCCTGCTCCCTGCATGTTTTCCACTTGATTGAGACTGGATTCAATAACAGAAGTCAAAGCATCAAGTTCTTCAACGTGCAGCGCTTTACACATGCCCCAGATTTTCTTAAGAGCAATTAAGGCATACAGCCGAATACTAAAATTGTGATTGAAACACCAGTGCAGTACGATAATGAGGGCTTGCTTCAGAATCAGTTTCTGAAAAGAGAGGACAACAGGTCTTCAGGTGTAAACATGGACCATTTCACCCCTGACTGAATGATCAAAGCCAAGTCTACAGATGATAAGAATGCTAACAGTACATCTTATTTCACTGGTTCTGCATTGTCGGGCCTTCTCATTCTTCCTCCTCAGACAGGTGAGACACACTGACGTGAGCGATTTCCTTAAGAGAGAAAATATCCTCCCGGAGGGGAGAGTACAGCTCAGTGGTAAAGTGTGTGCTTGGCACGCACAAGGTCCTGGGTTCAATCCCCAGCACCTCCATTAAAAATGAGGGAAGGGGAGGGGAGGGGAGGGAGAAAAGAAAGAAAGAAAGGTAAATAAATAAACCAACCTAATTAGCCCCACCAAAAGAAAATACCCTCCCAGCTCTATAGTTTTTGTTTACGACGCTGTGGTACATCTTCCCCGTATTCCAGCTCCTGGGGTAACTTGAACAGAGCACTTTCATGCTACCCATTGTATAACCACAGTGTTTTACAAACAGCCTCCATCGCTGATTACCTTACCATGGGCTGAAAAAGTTAGAAGTAGTCTTGAAGAGCCCTGCTTTTGGTGAACTTGAAGGTGCTTCTAAAGCAAGCTATCTCACAAAGTGCTTTTCCCCTAAGGGTGATCCCGGGCACACACAGCACCAAGTGGAGGCAGGACCACGTAGAAGTGGGGAGGGAATAACCACACAGGGCCTGCCTAGCGTAATGCACACACACACCTAAAAGGCACAGACAAATAAAATCTGAACCCGCAGATTTTTCCATCTTCACAGCCTGGAGATTTTATGCGATGACAGTCCCTGATTTCCAAAACCAGAGTTCCACAGATATTGAAAGGCAAAGGAAGTGACATCTATCGCTGTGGAAACCAGATGGACTCAAACTTCTAATAAAGTAGCAGGAGCTACCTTAATACTCCTACCAAATGGGCCCTGTAAATGTCACAGGCTGCACCTTGCTAAGAGTCTTACTGTTAGTTTCTACTGACTGAGTAAAAGTAACCACACTCACAAAAGAGTTAACTGAGATATCACACTTCAATTTCCCGAAGTGTCTCTGAGGACAGAATGATGATATAAATGATCCTCCTTACTCCACTCCTTTATTCAACACAGCATCAGCGTTGATCGGGGGTCACTGTACGTCCAGCGTGGCAGGACACTGTGGGGAGACACATAAACACACACACACACACGACCACAGCATACAGACAGCCACCCCACGTGATACACAACTTTAATCACCTGTAAGTGGAGCAGGGCGAGGGAGAGTGGCGAGTCAGACAGGCCCCAGCAAGAACAGTTCTCGGCCAGAGGGACAAAGACGGCTGCGGCAAATCTGAGAAAGCCAGCAGGCAAAGTGCAGTGAAGGGAAAATGTATTTACTCGGCCAGAGGGGAGGCCAGAGAGACAGGACGGGCAGTCTGGGAAACAGCAACTTCTCAGTGACACCGGATGAAGTATCAACTAGCTTTAGTTGGGATGTTGAAAACCAAGGCAGGTTAACCAAGACAACCGAAATATCGATAAAAGATAATTTAAAAACTAACAAAGAGGAAAAAGGAGGAATGTTGTTAATTAACTGCTGGTGTTTTACAGTCCTTTACAACTTTATGAAGCATGCATGTGACAACATCTAAACACACACACTCCCTCTAGCATGAGTTCTGCACCTCAAGTGCCAGGCGCGGCATTTTATGCACCGTGTTCTTCATAAGCACGACTTCCCCACGTAGATTTTATCATCCCCGAATTAGATGTTAGATAACTAACGCGAAGGGGAGGCAAACCTGCACGGTGGTAGTTAAGAGGACAGTCATCCCAATGAGACATGTCCAAAACAGGCCCCTGATTTCTTCCCACCTCCTGCGCGGGTCCTCACCTCCTCCTGCGCTGACCCCAGCACTCCGCGCCAGTGGCTCTGACCTTGGCCGTGACGAGGCCCTTCTCACTGCGGCCGGCACCTGCCATCCTCTAGCCCTGGGTGGAAAGTCCCCGGACCCCGCCGGGCTTGCTCACCCTCCTGCATTTAGGTGCTTGTTTGGAATCATCTCCATGGAAAGGTCTCCCCTGAAGCCACTTTCTGAAACAGCCGTCCTGCCCAGGCACCCAATTTCCACCCTTATTCTGCTTTCTTTCTCTTCAAAGCTCATGCCACTACCTGACAGTGTACTGTTTCTTTATTGTCTCCCTCCCCCACCAGAATGAACGCAGACTTTGTTTGGTTCCCTGCAGAATCGCTAGGGCCAAGGATAACACAGAGAGACACCTAAAAGGCACAGGGTAAATATGAGGCTGGGAGGAGAAGGAAGGGGGCAAAAAAATCAACGACTTCTTCCAAAGAAGCTGGGGCCTGTGGCCAATGAAATTCACCACACATCCCAACTGCGCGTTCTCTGCTTATTATCCAAATGTAAACCCCACCGTTCTCTCTGCTCCCAAAGTGTCTTCTCCCAAAGAACAGATGCTCCCTCTGACCCACCCTTCAGGACCCTCCCCCGGTGGGTGCATTAGCCCCTCCCTCGCCTTCCTCTCACCTGCCTATGTTAGAGGAGGGTCTGCCCACTTCCAGCCCTCAGGGTGACACCCAGACCTTACTTCTCCAGCACCGTGTAAAACCCACGGCTCCCCGTTCCCTGCCCACAGCCACACCCCAGACCCTGTTCTAAAACTGTAACTGTTCTTTTCTAAAATCTTAAAATCAGGTGATCCCATTTCTGACGCAGGGCAGCTGTCTACCCCCTACCTCCTGGTCCCCCCACCTTTTCTCCTCACCCCTTCTCCTCACCATCTCTGCGGTGGGATTCATCAAAGCCTTGGCCTCCTGGTTACACAACAGCACGGGTTAAGCCCCCGGCGTCCTGCGTGACCCTGACCCCAGTGCGGGACACGGCACACGGCACACTGCGGTCTGCACAGGCTCTGGGCGCTCACGCCGCGTCTCCGCCGTCTGGTACGGGGCTTAGTAAGGACACGCACTGACAGCACTGGAATGAATGAG